ATATAATAGGAGCTACAGGCTAAGCTAAGCCATCTTTCCAAATATCTATATCTTTAAATTGAAATATTTCGGAAGATAACTCGTTTAATATTGCCTTTACATCTAATAAGTTGTTGTTTTTGATCGGTAGATATAAAATTAACATATTATGGGGTATTTGTGAAAAGACGCCTTACCTTTTGCCTCCAAAAGTTAAAGCAATTCCTTCAAGGATACGCATAAAAAAAGCGAAGGAAAAGGTTTTGCTTCGAGGGTTTGGTTTAAAGTAAAATGTTTTACATAATTTGTATTTACAAAAAGAAGCATTTGCTCAAAAACTAAAGGATTTCCTTCTCAAAAAAGCAATCTAGGTTCACAATAACTTTTCTCGCTCTTTACAACTTTTCAGTAGCTGCCCAGGCATCACACACTTTGTAACGTAAAAAATTATGTATTTGTAGGGCTGTTTTTTGTAAAAATGTATTTAAAAGGACTTGTATAAGTAATATTTAGTTGTGTGGTCCCAATGTTGTGCTTGTTATAAAAAGGTATAGATTATCAATACGAATTGTAACAAAAGCTTTTACTTCTAACTTCTACTTGAAAGTAAATGCTTTATTTTTATAAATACAGCCTATTCTCACGTAAAGTAAAATTTAAAAAACCAGATCATTCTCGAATGTAATGTTTCAAGAATATACAGCCCCTAAAAATACTTGTGGCGAGATCAGAAGAAAAATAGTTATAACTACAAGATGATGGGTGAGATAAGAAGAGCGATTCAGTGGACGAAACAGTACTGAACGAGTGATTAGTTAAAAATAGTGGTATTAATTTAAGAATAATTAGCAAAAATAGATTGGTAATAGTGTAAAAAGGTGCTTCAATATGGGACAGTGCGAAAATGGCAACACATTTGTGGAGGGGTGGGGTAGTCGAATCAGACGATTTAGATTGGTGGGGCGTACGTTTATAGGAACTGGAGTATTACCTATAGTAGTTTGAATAGCCAATTTAAAATATGTACTTGGAGCAAAAAATCCACAGTCACAAAGTTAGGAGTATTTCAATCATTGACTGAAATCCACTGTTGTGACTGACCTGAGTTGAAACTGGCATAACTTCTTGCAGCTTTACAACAAAAGTCAGATGAAGTAATTCGCAACGCTACATTCAACAAATCTTTGCCCTCTCAAATCAAGATTTCTATCGAACTAGCTCAACCCTACCATCGCATCAACACAGAAACAGCAACGTTCACTAAAGAATCACCTAGAAGAATTCCTTGGCCGAAGCAAGAGCTTCTTCTTCTTTACCAAATTATTTGTGGACTATAGGAAGGATCGTCACCCATTTTCTTAAATCGACCGAATTCTTGATAGTTTAGCTGGAGCTAAATGATTCTCAACCGTCAATTAGAGCAGTGGATACTGGCGGGTTGAATTACATCCGCAAGATAAGGAAAATGCTGCATTTACAACTGGAAATGGCCTATGACAACTAGGCAATTCATTGTGATGACTAGGGTTCGGATAATTATGCATTTGCATACTGGATATTCTAATGCATATTTAACCCATTATTTGGTCAAAGTGCATATTTTGGTCATTTTAAGTTTTATCTGCATATTTCGTAGTTGAAACTTGTTTGCAAACATAATTTATACGCTTACCAAGGTCAAATACTTACTCAACCCCCTACGGAGTGGTATATTCCGAGAAAGCAATGTAAACGTCTTAACCGATAATTGGTAATTGCTGTCATTAAGTATTTACATCAACATAATAAGAAAGATTACCTATGCAAAAGTTCGCTTTAAATTATCACAACATCAGTTTGTTGTTTGATTTTGAAAAGCGAACATCTCAACGTCAGTGTTAAAAATCAAAAATGCCGAAAGAAAGACGATCTGTTAGCACTGTTTTAAACACGTTGCTAAGTTCAAAGAAATTGCCGGTAGTTGAGATTTCACTTCCGCCATCCCCAATTGTTACAAGATGGAGCACCTCTGACGTGGAAAGATGTTTTTCAGAAATAAAAAGTATTTTATCTGGTAATCGCCGTATTTATATTTGAAAATTTATTATATCATATTGTAGAAAACACCACAAATAGCGAGGTAAACGCCACCTGTAGTACGATGCTACATTTTAGGATTACGTATGCTCCAACAAGGTCCATTTAAATATATGGATATCTACTTGCTGAAACGAATCCCGGCGTAGCTAACCTCAACGTGATAGGCACGTTACCATAATCGAATAAAATAATTCGAAGTG